AAAAAAAAAAAAGACTCAAATTTACAAATTTATTAAAAGGATTAAAAAAAGAGTAATATGAACAACTGTACAACAAAATTAGGTGAAACATATTGAAATACACAGAAGTCTAAAGAGATAAAAATTATCAAATACTGGCACAAGGGGCTGGGGCTGGGACTCAGTGGCAGAGTTCTTGCCTCGCACATGTGAGGCACTGGGTTTGAGCCTCAGCACCTCATAAAATAAATAAATAAAATAAAGGTATTGTGTCTGTGTATAACTAAATATATATATATTTAGTTTTATATATATATATATATTTAGTTTTTATATATATAAAACTGGCACAAGAAGAAAATGTTAACAGAACCATAAAAGTAAAGAAATGGCGGGGCTGGGATTGCAACTCAGCAGTAGAGCACTCACCTAGCACGCTGGGTTTGGCCCTCAGCACCACATAAAAATAAAATAAAGGTATATTATATATAAAGGTATATATAGTTATATATATATATATATATATATATATAACTAAAACAAAATATTTTTTTAAAAAAGTAAAAAAATGGAATTAGTCATCAAAACACTCCCAACACAGAAGAGCCTATCCCCAGATGACTTCACTTTAAATTCTCCTAAACATTTAAAGAATATCAATTCTGCCAAAAAGCCAAAGACATCATCAGAATACTACAAACCAATATCTATTATGAATGAAGATGCAAAAATCCTCAATAAAATAGCCAACTAAATCTAACAACATACAAAAATAGTGTATGTGTACAGATGGATAGAGAGAAAGCGAGCCAGCCAGGTGTGTCTAGGGTCCCAGCTCTCGGGAGACTCAGATGAGAGGATAACGAGCTCATAAGCTCAAAACCAGTCTGGGCAACAGCAGAAGCCCCCATCTTCAAACTAATAAATGAACAAAAGACTGTACATGACTGAGAACCCAGGAAAGTATGATTCAATTAACATCTGAAAACCAACTAATGTAATACACAGTAACAGTAAACCACCAGACAAAAACCACAAAGTCATCTCAATAGACACAGAAGAAAAAAAAATTAGGGGGTGGGGAGATACCAGAGATTGAACTCAGGGACACTCAACCACTGAGCCATATCCCCAGCCCTATTTTGTATTTTATTTAGAGAAAGGGTTTCACGGAGTTACTTAGCACCTCACTTTTGCTGAGGCTGGCTTTGAACTCATGATCCTCCTGCCTCAGCCTCTTGAGCCACTGGGATTACAGGCGTGCACCACTGCACCTGCCTCACAGAAGAAATTTTAACAAGTCCAACAGCCCTTTACAATGAATGAATGAATGAATGAATGAAAAAGGAAAGAAAAGAGAAGAAAAAACTAAAAATAGAAGAGAGCTTTGTCAATTTGAGAAGGGGCACTCATGAAACACCCAGAGATATCATCACACTTCAGGGTAAAAGACTGCAAGCTTTCCCCTTAACATCAGAAACAAGGCAAGAATCAAAGTTCTCACCACTTTGATTCAACATTCTACTAAAAAAGATCAATATAAAAAAATCACCCATACTTCTATATATTAGCAATGAACAAACCTAAAATGCAATTCAGAAAAGAATTCCATTCAAAAATAGTAAAAAAGTAATAAAACATCTGGAAACAAATTTAACAAAAGAACTGCAAATCCTATGGTCTGAAAACTACAAAACGCCACTGAAAAATAATTAAAAGACCTATATAAATGTTCATAGAATGGAAGACTTAATATTGATGGCCTGGGGATCTGGCTCAGTGATAGAGTACTTACCTAGGATGTGTGAGGCCCTGGGTTCAATCTTAGCACCAAAAAGGAAAACTTAATGTTATGAGGCAATACTTTCAAACCCATCTACAATTCAATACAATCCCTATAAAAACCCTGATTATATTTGTTTGCAGAAATTAACAAGCTCACATTAAAATTCTTAGCAAAAAAACAAAGACTTAGAAGAGTTAGAATATATTGAAAATTAAGTACAAATTTAAAAGATTTTGCTGGGCACAGTGGCCTGTCCTTATAGTCCCAGTGACTCAGGAGGCTAAGATAGAGGATCCCAAGTTCAAGGCTAGCCTCAGCAACTTAGCAAAGCCCTAAGCAATTCAGTGAGACCTTGATGTGTCTCTATGGTAGAGGACCCCTGGGTTCAATCCCCAGTACAAAAAAATAAAAAATAAAATTTACTTATACTTACTATAAAGCTGTCAAGACAATGTAGTACTAGCCTAAGGAAAGGCATATAGATTAATAGGGGGAAAAAAAAAAGGAAATAAACCCTCACATTAACAGTCAATCAATATTCCACAAGCCTTCAAAACAATTAACTGGGAGGGGGGAGAGGGAATCCTTGTTTTCAACAATAGTGTTAAGAAAAATGCATAATAAAAGTGCATTTGCATGTATAATGCAAAATAATGGAGTTGGAATCCCCATCTCACAACATAAATAAACTAAAACAGTATCAAAAACTTCTTGTAGGTGTTAAACTTATACAGTCCCAAAGAGAAAAAAAAGGTGATAAATCTTCATAAACCCTGGCTAAGTACCCTCTTCCTACATAGGATGCTAAAACCACAATTAACAAAAGAAAAACAAAAAAATTGGAAGGAAGCCAACAAAATTTAAAGTCTGCATACACCAAAGAACAACATCAAGAGAATGAAAAAGACAAGGCTGAGACAGTTAGACTATATTTGTTAAACATATCTGATAAAGGACTTGTATCTAGAATATATAAAAGAACACTTACGAGTCAATAATGAAAAGAGAAGCAATCATGGCCTGGGGTTGTGGCTCAGTGGTAGAGCGTCTGCTGAGCATGTGTGAGGTACTGGGTTCGGTTCTCAGCACCACAATTTATTAATTTATATAAATCAATTAATAAATAAAAGCCCATCAACAATTTTAAATTTTTTTTAAAAAAAGAGAGAAGCAATTAAGAAATGAGCAGAGGATCTAAATAAACATTTCTCCAAAAAGATGTATCACTATGGAGAATGGTTTGGCAGTTTCTTAAAAGGTTAAACAAAGAATTTCCATATTATCCAGCAATTTTACTCCTTGGTATATACCAAAAGAATTGAGAAAGGAGATTCAGATATTTGTTTGCTAATATTCATAGCAATATCATTCACAATAGCTATATGCTGGAAATAACGCCAGGTGATCATCAATAAAAAACTGGAGTTGGGGGGGCTGGGGTGTGGTTGAGTGGTACAGCACTTGCCTAGCATGTGTGGCTCCAGGTTCAATCCCCAACATAGAGCAAATAAATAAATAAATAAACAAACAAACCATGGTGATAGACATACAGTGAAATATTATTCAGTCATAAAAAGAAAAGGCTGGGGGTATAAGCTCCATGATGAAGTAAGTATGTGTTTAACATGGGCAAGGCCCTGGGATTCAGGCCCAGCAAAGAAAGAAAGGAAGGAAGTTCTAACACATGATATAGCATGGATGAACCCTGCAACATGATGCCATATGACATAAGCCAGAAATAAAGAACAATTGCGTTATCATTCCATTTCCAGGAAGTATCTATAATTGGTAAATTCCCAGAGACACAAAGTAGATTAGAGTTGCAAGTGGCTGGGGGAGGGGCAATTGGTAATTGTTCAGTGGACATAAAGTTTCTGTTTAGATTTTTTTTGTATTTATGTGTAATTTTTTAGTTCTAAGTGGATACAATATTTTTTTTAAAGAGAGAGTGAGAGAGAGAGAGAG